CTCTGCAGAGGCATAAGCTCAGAGGAGCCTTCAGGTAGCCTCTGCAGCAGGAGCAGAGATGCCCTGGGTGATTTCCTCCTGCCTTGAGAGGAGGAAAAGCCCAAATTGGTCAAGACAAATCCCTGGAGCTCTCCCACGGTGCTCCTCGCTCCAGCCCCTTGCAGGAAGGATACGGCGAGGAAATCTCAACCTCCTGGCAAACCTGAAACAGTGTCAGAGGGCGGCTGGTAACCCCTGCAGGTTAGAGCTGCTTGAAGAGAGCTGCCTGCTATGGGAGCAGCCCTGCCAAGGAGGACTTGGGGGTTTTGGTGATGAGAGGCTGGACATGACCTAAAATGTGCACTGGCAGCCCCAAAAGCCAATCAGAGGAAGTGTCACCAGCAGGTCGAGGAAGGTGATTCTGCTCCTCTGTGCTCTGCTCTTGTGAGACCCCTCAGACCTGCAGTGCTGTGTCCCACTCTGGGGTCCCCCAGCGGAAGGAGGACATGGACCTGCTGGAGCAGGTCCAGAGGAGGCCACAGAGATGATCAGGGCTGGAGCACCTGAGAGAGTTGGGAGTGTTCAGCCTGGAGAAGAGAAGGCTCCAGGGAGAACTCAGAGCCCCTTCCAGTGCCAGAGAGCTGGAGAATGCCTTTGGACAAGGGCCTGGAGTGACAGGACAAGGGGAAATGGCTTCAAACTGACAGAGGACAGGCTTAGATTAGATACAAGGAAGAAATTCTTCCCTGTGAGGGTGGTGAGGTCCTGGCACAGATTGCTCAGAGAAGCTGTGGCTGCCCCATCCCTGGAAGCGTTCAAGGCCAGGTTGGATGGGGCTTGGAGCAACCTGGGATAGTGGCAGGTGTCCCTGCCCATGGCAGAGGGTGGGAACTAGATGGTCTTCAAGGTCCCCTTCAACCCAAACTATCCTGTGATTCTGTGAAGGCAGCAGGCTTAGGTGCTGCACTTCACTTTTCATTCTGAATCGTTGAGCAAATGTGGAGCCCAGCCACTCATTGGACCTGGGGACCATGGTTATTTCTGGACCACGAGAAGACCACAACGAGGAGAGTTAGTCATGTGTGAGCAGCACTCTCCAGGCGGATTTGCCACAACAAATAAATAAAAATAAGCGAGAAGCATTAAAAACTTAGTTGTACACATGACTGGCACATCATTTCCATTCAAATGGGTTATACCGTAGGTGCGGATGAGATCATAGGCTGCTATTTAAGGAGGAAACCTCTACTTACATAAATGTCTGATTATGCAACTGTCATGGAAACCAGAGATGACAAAGATGTATTAGATTAGCTTGTCCATTCCCTCGGAGCGCAGGATTGTTCCTTGTGGTTTATTTTTTGCTCAGGATTTTAAGAACTGATTGGTGGCTGCTGGATGCTGAGCTTGAGAAGAAATGATTTATAGTATGAGCTGAGCTGTCACTTTTCTAAAGGTGATTTGCTTTGGAAACTCAAGAATAGAAGTGCTTGAAGTCACTGGTGGCACCCAGCGATCCCCACACCAGCACCTAGTTCATTCCTGTACTTATATGCTCAGAGTATCATGGCTTTCATTGGTTAAGACACATGCCAGAGTCTTAGAGGACATTTCTCTACCATTCTGCCTGACCTTTCTTTAATTTTCATCCCCTAACTCTGTTGTCTTTCCAAATAATACTCCCTTTTCTCTGGTTTTGCACCCTCCCAGCGTGTCCCTCATGGTTGTTGCTTAGCCAAGCTATACAAATTTAGCTGCTCCTAATCTTTTCTCATAGGTCAGTCCTTTGAGCCACGCTCATTTTTGCTGCTGCACAGGGAAATCGGTGAAGATTAGTATTTTAATCTTCTTTCCCTGTTTAAAGAAACCCCAGGACACACACTGAATGGTTTTCCTGTGACTTTAAATTAAAATGTTTAAAAATGAATGTATTTATATCTCTTTTTCTCAGCTTTCACCTCTAGTTTCTCTCAGTCACTGATTTGGCTGCTCTTCTGCCTTATTAGAAATGGCTTTTATTTAAAAAAACTTCAGTTTGGTTCCTTATCATGAACAGGGTGACATTGTTATGTCACGAGCTATGCGGTTTAGTCTCTGCTTATTCTGCAGAATTAACCTGAACTGGTTTTAAACCAAACCCTCTGGGTTGTCCAATCTCACCAGATTTGGGATCTGGGAGGCTCCATAGCAATAGGAAGACAAAAGGATTAATGCTGCCAGTGGCATTTACTCTGATTTTTGTGAACTGATTCTTCTGTGATTGTGTTTTCTTCTCACAACGTCTTTGGTTGCTGTTATTTTCCTTGAAGGTGGTCTCCTTGCTCTCTCTTAATCCCAATGGTCAGTGAACTCAGCTCTTGCTCCCCTCATGCCCAATTCAGATAATTACATGCAATTACAATATGGAGCTTTGATTCCTAATACCTACTTAGGACTATGTTTAAAGATTTTTAAACAGGAAATGCTTTTTATCTGTAGTTTGACTTTACCCGGGGTCACAGGGCAAACTAAATTCAGGCTCTATCAGACTCCAGCAAGGAAACAGGCTGCAGAGTTGGGCCTTCTCCTCTGATGGGAGGTCCCAGGCCCAACCTGTGCCCAGCCATTAACCGCCAATGCCAACAGAAAAGCTGCCACTGCTGCTGCAGAACTTGGGGAGAAGTCGATACCTGATGAGCAGGAACTCAGAATACAAAAGGGCTTCACTCTGAACTGTTGCATCAGGGTTAAGAGCTAATTCTGACCTCTCTGAAGTAATTTGGAAAACTCTCTTAGTGTGGGCATGACTCCTGCTGACAGTCCTGCCAGCACCTCAGCACTGACCTACAACACCTCCCCTATCTCACCGTGCGGCTCCGGGGCTATTTTAGCCAGGGCTGTCAGTGGAGCTGAATCGTTCCATTATGTGGTGGCTTTGCAATGTGGAAAAGTGTTCAGGAGGGACCACTCTCCAAATGAGAGTGACTCAGTCTCTGGGGCCAATTCAGTCATTGATTTTTATTTATTTATTATTTTATTTTATATTTTTCCCTGAGGCAGCTGATGCAGGGAGCAGTTACAGTGGTGATTTTTCCATGCTGTGGATCCCAATTGACCGTGCCGTGGAGGGACATGTGCTTATCTCACATAAAACCCCACTGCAGGGCAACGCTTTCCAGGCACTGCTGAACTGAGATAGATTTGACCCTAGAGATGAAAACTCAGATTGTCTCACTCTGTATATCCTTCCATCAGAGAGAAGAGAATGAAACATAGTGTTGCGGGATGATTTATAGGACAAAAGCACTCCAACTACTCATCCTAAATCACAGCAATTGCACTACGTGCAGCCAAGCTGACTGGTTTTGGAGCAGGTCAGATGAGTTCCAACCTCCTCTTCAGGTATTTAAGAGAAGTCCTTAACAACAGGAACCTGCTTTGTCGCACTTCTTAAAAGAACAGGTTACCCCAGGGAGAACTTGCTGGGTCCCCTCCCCATTCCTCTGCAGCTGATGCCCACATTGCTGCTGTCCCCTCTTCCACGAATAGACACATTTCCGCAGGAATGATCCCTGAATTTCATCTAAGAGCCTTTGAGAGCCTCCTAAATAATTTCAGCATGAGCTATCCTTAGGAAGTTAAAATCAAAGGCACAAGTACCAGCATATTTAATAAGATGGAAACGGCAAAATGAGAACCACATTGAAGGATTTGGGAGTTTCTCCCTGCGTGGATTCCGAAAGGGGTCACGGGTTTGCAGTGCTCTGGCAAGCACAGAGATGCTGTGCATTGAGCACAGGCAGTAATTACATCTCCTCTTTCTAAATTATGTTATCAGGAAACATCTATATTGTTTGCATGGGTCTAGATTACGCTCTGAGAATAGAATGTTCCCTGCATAAAGAGCGCGGCTGGAGTAAATCAATGAGGATGCACTCAGAAACATCAATTAAAGGTAATACAAGTCTTTAGTGTGGCATCAGGGAGCGAGCAGAGTTTGAAATTCTGATCTTCCCAACCCTGCCTTCCTCCCTAGGAAAGCAACAAAGCAGAACTACTCAGAAATTCATAAGGTTTAAAAATAAAATACTTGTCTCCTCTCATCCTCATCTTTACTCAGTGCTGGTTCCCAGCATAGTAGATGAACGTAACGTTTTCCTTCAGGAGATCTCAAACTTCTGCTGGGTTAAGGAGTTGCCTTTCTGCAAGTGTCACAAGTTGAGTACCTTGGTTTTGAGGTATCTGCTTTGGGGGACCTACAATCTGACTGCCCGAGATGCCAAGAGCCTGCCAGTGATCCACTGGAGTCAAGGAAACCAGGTCCTCAGCTCCTTCAGAGCAGTACCTAGAAATTCAGATTTTCAAAGTTAACAGTTATGTCTGAATACAAAATAAGAGCAAACCTGTGATAGAGGTGGAAACAAAACCTTGACCTTTTGCCTTTCTAGTATGTAGTACCTGGAGCTCATCTGCAGAGGGGTGGGTGATCTGGTCACCTTTGGACATCATTAGTAAGGGACATGCACATAAACAGCATCAACATGTCCTCCCCTGGTCCCAGAGATTTCCTGTTATTGAGGCAAATGGGAAATTAATGTGAATCTTCCTTCAGCCTATTAATTCTGCCTCCCCTTTTGCAGACATTAATTCAAATGCAAAACCTGAGCCTGGGTTTGAGCCTCCCCTGCGCTCAACTCAGGGTTCCTGCTCAGGCCCATTTGTTACCTACGTGACACTCATCCATCATTGTGATTGTAATGGTGAGAGGTGGAAAATTTTCTCCCAGCTACTCGGAAGAAAAAGGACCTTACACAGAATTTATAAGCCTCTTCAGCTGAGCTAATTATTCAGGAAAGGCTATTTTTCATTGCAAGAAGCACAGGCGAGCAGATTCCATTCATAGCTCAAATACCAAACAGCTTTAGCACCTTTGGTTTTAGTGGCTTATTTTATTAATATTAAGGCGGGGGGAGGGGGGTGTTAGCGTTGTGAGTTTGGATTTTTTTTTTTTTTTTAATGCTTTTTCCCTTTGGGCAGAAAGCTGCTCCCTTTTCATCACAGCCCTGATAATGAATTGCAGTGTACAAAGCCGGTCATACAATACGCAGCAGCGGCAGCGCGGAGCGAGAATCTTTGGGAAGAGTTTCCATAGAAACATTGACGTCCTCCTGGCGAACAGGACACCGAGTTCCTTCAATGGGAGGTATGGGGTTTTAAAGGAGCAGCGAGGTGGCGGGAAGCCAAGCCAGCAGAGCTATGACTCTGCATCTCCCAGCAGAATAGGGGGGTTGGAGCTGGTGGGAGGGAAAGGGAAAGGAAAAAAAAAAAATAACCCAATTACCCTCGCATTATCAAAATGTCGGGTTGGATGGTTGCTGCTTGAGCGGTGCCGTGTAGAGCCTGGTAAATAATTAAACTGCTGACCGCGAAGTGTGCGAGAGCCGGCAGCCAAAAATCATAAATACTCAAGGCTGTGTGAACTAGCGGCTTCTAAAAAATCTTGTCAGATTTTGTCACAGGCTTCATCCCCAGAAGCCTTAAATTCAGCACAAATCAGCATGACGCAGGCACAAACCTCCCGGGGACGGGCAAGGTTGCACCCGGCGATGCGCACCCTCCCCTCCCCTGCTTGTCTTGGAATGAGACAAGTGTTGTGCTAATGTTCCAGCTCTGTGTTTTAAATAGCCTCGTGTCTACCCAGCTAAATAGTGGCAGAGCAGCCCTGTCTGGAAGAGGCTGTTTCTAGAAGGAAAACAGTCAGAGGAAATGTTTTTGCCAGAAATGTTGGAAATCATACAAAACAAAAAGGGAGCATGCAAAAGAATTCGCCGCCGAGCGCTCCCCGGTGATTTTGTTCAGGCTCACAAAGCGCTTTGTTTCGGAGCAATCCCCAGATAAGATTAATGAAGGTGACAGACATCCCTTCTGGGAAAGCCTGTGACCCACCCCAAAGCCCTGTCCAACATCGGGGATGTCAAACAGAGTCTCCCCACTGGCTGTGGGGCTTTGGCTCTGGACCCAGGAGTGAGAGTGCTCAGCCCTCAGCCCCAGAAAGTGAGCAGCCATCCAACCCAACATGGTTCTCAGCCTTCATGGCTTCCTCTGGCTCTTTGACTCCAGCTGGCTATCTCTGCACAATTCAGACACGTCTCTGGTGCAGTTGAATACATTTCAGGGTCTTATGTGTGTCACCCTCCCAAAGAGAGTCATAGAATGGTTTGGATGGGTGAGACCTTAATGTTCATCTAGTCCAACCCCCTGCCATGAGCAGGGACACCTTCCACTATCCCAGGTTGATCCAAACCCTGTCCAACCTGGCCTTGAACACTTCCAGGGACAGGGCAACCACAGCTTCTCTGGGCAACCTGTGCCAGGGCCTCACCACCCTCACAGGGAAGAATTTCTTCCTGATATCTAATCTAAACCTGCCTTCTGTCAGCTTTAAAAACACCCAAGCATCTTTCCAGGATGAGTCACATGAGGTGAGGAGCACCCATTGCGGCTCTTCCTCTGTTTCTCCCCAGAGCTGATATCTCAGGGGTGAGTCGTTTACCCAGCAAACCCCTGTGGTATTTGGTTTGCTTTGTGCAAGTGAGATGGGTGGAGGGTGTGCTCCACTGGGACATGGAGCTCAGAGGGAGCTTTGCTACAGGTAGGAGCAGGTGCCGTGGTCTTGAACCAGCCTTGTCCTCTCTGCAAGCCAGCTTCTGTTATTCAGAAGTATCTTGCAGGTTTTTGTACATCTGTTCCTTGTTAAAATCGCTCCAGAGTGATTAGTGGCAAATACAAGGCATCCACAACCCCATCACAGTTGAGTGGGAGCCTCAAATACCCTGTACCTTCCATAGTCTGCTCCAGATAGTCTTCAAAGGCAAACCACTGCAGTGTGGCTGCTGACCTTAATCCCTGTCCTTTACAGTGCTCAGAGACTGTAGCTATTTATACTGCTGCTATTGCAATGCTGGAAACTCTATGCTGGAAGCTAAATTATTTCAAATCTATATGGGTATGGTGCTACATGAAGTTCTGGTTTATAATTTTATAGCAAAGACATCCATTTATTCAGTGGGCTCCAGGTAGGATGTTTGGTACAGGATATGGAATTGATCTATTTGCAGAATGTTTGGATGGAGATCATTTTGGTTCAACCTGTTCAGCAAGATTCGCTGTAGACACAGAAAGACAGAAAAGTCGGTGAGTCAGAGGATCTCAAAGAAGTCTCTTGAGTTTTAGGGACTTATTAATATTGTTTCAAAGGATGATGGCAGGAATTACTTTGAAGAGAGTAGGAAGAGAGGGTAAAACAGATGTCCATCTTCCTGAGCAGTACCTTGCTCTTTTCATCCATTCATCTCAGAGTGTTTACTTTTTCCTGTTTTGTGGATGCAGAAGACTTAGAAGTAAAGGTCCATTTAGAATGAGAGATGTTTTACTCGAGCACTGTGTCCTTACTTACAACTTAGGGGAATTTGAAGGCTCATTATTCTTTCTTGATTAACATCACTTTATAAGGTGTTCAGCTAGCATGGCAATGAACTTGATTTAAATACCCAGGTAGGCTGGATTTGCATACGCCAGGAAGGACGGAAGACAAACCAGACCCCCACACCCATCACGATAAGGCAGCTGGGTCAAGGTGGGGCTGGGGACAATGCCTGGTGCTGGATTTGGAGAGGCAGAGACCAGCCTCTGGCTGACCAACCCACAGCACACGGGACTCACGTGCTGGCAGGGGCCTATTTGTGCACACGCAGAAGGAGAGTGCTTGATAATACTGAATTAGGAAGAAATGCAATTAAAGCAGGGGGAATGCGCTGGTTTGACTGCAGCTGGACCTCCCAAGCACCTTGATAGGGTATTTCTGGAAGAGAGAGCAATGAGTGAAATTATCTACTTGACCGATATTAAACCAGCACGCTACAGCAGTCCTGAATTTCTTCTGAACCAAATCTTATCATGGCACATCCTTTGCCAGAGGTGCTCTCTCTTCTCTTCTGTACCAGTTGGTCCACAGAGCTCGGTGTGGGGTGCACAGGCTGTGCTGGTGAGGTGATTTTAACTGAGGCACAGGCACTGCCCCAATCCAGCTGCTCACAATCCAGCTGAATGAACCCTCTCTAGAGAGGCTTATTGGAGGAGTTGCACTTCAGTCTTATGAAACCTGATGGCCCCTGATCACCCCGTTGGTGCAGTGCTTAACTGAGGGGCAAACTCCTCATCCTATAACAAATAATTCCCATTAAGGGCAGATTTATCTGCTGCTGGCAGACCCAGGCTCTGTGTGAGGGGCTGCAGCGACGCCTCAGTGAATCTGTACTGGCTCACGCTTAGTGGAGAGTTCCTATGAATGTCTCTGCATACTGCTTAAAACTTGTGTTTGACTTACAAAACAAGACAGCCAGTTCCCTTTCCATATCTTGTAGTCGAGAGCTGTCAAACATATGGAGATGTTTATATCCAGGCGTTTCTGCTCAGAGGAACCACCGGTGTCCTGCTCAGCGGCTGAATCAGGAAAGTCTTTCTCCTCACCTGAGCCTACATGGTCATTCCCCTTGGGTGGAGCTTCTGGAAAACTGCGGCCACAGGGAACCACAGCCAGCAAACACTTTGCAAATCCACTATCCAGACCCACTCCTGCTCTTGGACTAGAGCCTGTGCAAACAGCAGGGAAATTTTATTCCCTGTGATATATCGTTTGAGTTTTCCTTCCAGGAGATCCTGCTTCTTTTTCACATCAGCTCCTCAGCTGAATCTAGGACGCAGGAGATGCTCAATCCTGCCTTCTGGGCTCTCGTTCATCAGATTTACAGCATTTTTGTGCTACAACAGTAATCACAAACTGCTTGCATTAAATGCCACACTATTGAAAAGCCTTTCCGAAGGGCTCCGAGTCTTTGATCATTCTTTGTATTAGCAGAAAACAAAGTATTTCTTTCAGTAATGGAAGATGAAGTCCCACTTCATCCTTCAAAATGGTGGTGGCTTCCTGTGCCTCAGATGTGAGGCATTGCAGGAGCCATCTTGAACACCTAGATTTTGTAAAAACAGCTGAAATTTGCAAAGCGAGGAGCCCACAATTTCAAACACCGCACTGGAGAGCGAGAGCATGTGCTGCAGAATAGCAAAGAGGAAGAATAGATTTTGTTGAGGCTGGGAATTTGATACCAAAAATGAAGCATGGCCATAACAATTACAGCCATCTAGTGGGCAAAAGATTTTTTAAAAGATAAAAATACTATTGATATTCAATTTCAACAGTAAAATACTTGTGAAAGAAAGAGGTCTAGCAAATAACCTGGGGAGCAGCTTGCATTGTTTTTTTGTTTTGTTTTGTTTTGTTTTTTTACTATTCTTCAGGAATACATAAAATCTCAAATATTTTCCTTTTTGCATTGTAGTCTACAAATATTAGGAAAATTAGATCTCATTTGGTGCTCCTGTTTTAACAAGGGACTTGCTGAGAGTATCCAGCGAAGTGTGTTATTGCTCACACTGCAGCTGAAGGGACAGGACTGAATTTTTTAACAGAGATTTCCTCTCTCCAACTGGTTCATTAAATTTTAAAGTTAGATATATGACAACACAAGCTTTAAGTTAAGTACTTGGCAACAAATCAACAGGCTTCAGAGAGTGATTAAGGATCTCTTTCTGCAGACGCTTTGTACACCTTCCTTTGGCTCTTGATGTCATCCATCATCTCAGGAGCTCCTTGGGCTTCACAGGGTATTTCATGTTGATATGATCTCTAGTGAGTTTCTACTGAAAAAGCAAATTTGAAAGTAAGCATTTTGTCTGAAATCTTTGCATATCAAAAGGAAGAAAAAGTACATCCCTTCCTTTATCTTACTTTTATATGGAGCATATGGGCTGAAACGCTGAACTTCAGATCTGAATTCCAAAAACTCCAAAGCATTTTGATTTAGCCCATAATAAAATCTGCAGTGGGATTTCATAACAATGCTTTTTAATCCACCTCCAAGGAGGGATAAGATTCTCTGTGAGAGGGTTTGATCTGTTAGAAGTTTTTTGTTGTTTTTTTTTTTTTTTTTTTAAAAAAACTTAGTCATCTGTATTCAAGATTTTAAAAACATATTTACAGAACAAACAAACCTCCTCAGAATAATCTCCGCAGGCTTTTGATCGCATGCCTCGGAGTGGAAGAACAGGCTATAGGATCCCTTAACTCTGTGACAAGAAATAACTGGCTGTGAATTTTGGAAATCCTCTTTGGCATGTGTTCAAGCCGGTATTAATGCAAACCGCCCCATGCCGATCTCCTGACTCATCCCAAACGGCAGCTTCTGACACTCATCCCATCCGTCACCGGCCTTCCCTAGGAAGAAAACAAAGCAGCTCCTCCCTTCCTTCCTGAAAGCTCACGTGCCCAAACTGCTGCTGAACGGGGGCATCTTCTGTACTTCCAAGTGTTTAATTTGGGGTCTGACCCTGTGCTGGCGGATCTCGAAGGTGTGTTTGCAATGGTATAATTGGTCTCAGCTCCCCAGTCCCTGGGCACAGAGTGTCCTCTGGATAAGCCCCAGTGGTTCCACGTTTGGGGCACTCTTTGCAGCAAGTATTTCAAATTCCCTTCGTGTCTCTGGTGCAAATCTCTTTGAAGACAGCCGTATGTCAATTATAGCATTATGTTGCTTCTAAATCCTACATGTATTTATAGGACTCGATGGTCCCTTCCAACTCTATGATTCTGTGGTGTTTGTGTATTTATGTATTATTTACACAGGGTATAAATATCCAAGTAACCATTATCCAGAGGCAGACAATGTTTTCAAAGGAGAATGCTGTTTAAATCCTGCAGTCCTGCAGAATCTTCTCTATTGGAGGAAATCTAGTCCCACACTTGTTTGTGCCAGTTCCAGGAGGTTTTTTTCCTTGTCCCACAGGCAAGAGGTGAGGAGTGAAGGGCAGAGGCTCAGCTGCTCTAACTGTGAATTTCTTGATCTCTGACAATTTTGGTTTTTCTGATTATAGCCTTTTCTAAGAACAGGCTGTGCAGTATAACTTGCCATATAAAATCCTGGGTAGATACGGAGCTGGATTTGTGATGCAGTTACTGGTATTTCATTAACCTTTATCTTGACAAGTGGAAATAACACGCTGTGATTCAGGGGAAATTTTTCACTTGCAGAGAAAAATGGTGCCAAAAGAAAGCAAATGGGCTACAAATTAATAAATACAAGTCTCGATAGCTGAAATCAACTTCCAGCTGGACTCGGCCCCTCCGTGCGTGTTTCAGATGCATCGGGCTGCTGTGATGATGCTCTGAGGGGCACGACAGAGCTGGGGTTTGAACACCACTCAGGAGCCCAGGGGTGACCACAGCCAGTGCTGGGGACAGGGTGATCCTCCTCCAGCCCCCCTCCTCTGTTTTTTCCATGCAGATAAAGAGGTGGGCCTCGAGGATTGTCCAATCCCCCCACGGACTGTGGCTTCTCCATGCCGTGTCATGTCTTTGGCCCCGTGGTTCCACGGGGCTCATCTGCAACAGGCTTTTTCTCTGCAAAAAGGCTGCTCATGGTCCTGATGACGTGGATATGCAATCACTGACCCTCCAAAACCCCAGGGAGAACCATTTCAAGGAGGGCCTGAGCTAAATACAGGCTCTCTACGACTGCAGCCTTGCTGGTGGCCGGCAGAGTCCCCCAGAGGAGACGACAGAGCTGGTGAGTAATAAGGATAACCGATGTTTTTCCAAGTCAAAACCAGCCTGACTCACCACTATTTTGTTTCTTTTATTGTTATTTGTGTTGCTCTGATGCCAGACAGCAGATCTCAGTTATTGAGCCCAGGGTTTTATCACCATTTAGCAGGAGAAAATGCCCTCTGAAATGCTTCCAAACTAAATCAGTAGGAGGGAAAAAAGAAAAGGCAAAGCCACTTGCTCACTGCTGCCCAGTAATTTGGGGCTGAAAACCCTCAATTCTCCGCTCCTCACTAAGCACCTTCACTCACCCATGGTGGCACATTTTCCAGCTGGCCTAGTCTTGCTCTAAGCTGAGGTTTATAAATAGTCAATACCATCTAGTTTTCCAAATGAGAGATTTGCTTAGAGCACATGTTCCGGGACCCCTCGTGCTCCGGGGAGCGCTCGCTGCTGGCAGGAGCTGCTCAGATCCACAGATACTGATCTGAGGCCTCAGGAGAGAAAAACGTGCCATCAGAAAATGAGCAGGAGGAGGCAGAACACCACGGGTATGGCAGGGGTCACCTCTGCCCATTTGCTGTGGCCGTGCCATCCTCCAGTGAGCAGCACAGTCCTGCACAATCAGCTCCGGCTCCTCTCTTAGGTGAAGTCAGGATCTATTCCTGGGCAGGGATGCCATGGAAAATGTCGCTCTGGAGCTGGTATCTGCCAGGGATAATGTCTCTCTCAAGCCAGTATCTAGCACAGGATAAGTTTCCTGCTGCTTGTGATACACATCAGCCTCTCAAGGCTTTCGCAACACCCCCAGTGCAGGGAGCAGTCGTACCCACCATCGGACCTGCCAAGCAGAAGATATCCCAAGGAATTCAGCAAAATATCAGGGCCTGGATCAGATACATCAGTAGAAGCAGGATAATTCCCAGATCCAGAGAGAGAAGCACAAACAAAGAGAACCTAGACGTCAAAGAGACAAAAGCTGGCTGGGAGATCAATGCAGAAAAGCTCCGCGCAAGGTCTGGGGTTTAATGAGAGATGAGTAGGATGGGACTTGGCATAGGTAGAAGCTATTAGGAACAGCAGAGAAGAACAGGAGATGCAGATAGAGAAAGGAGAGAGAGAACAGCTGGAAGAGGAGGCTGGGAGGAAAGCAGGTAGAGAAGGGCAAATTTTGGCTTGCATGCACCAGTGAACCAGCTACAACCCTGCACGATGTGAACAAACACGGGAAAAGTGGATGGTTCCAGAGGATCCCTGCAGAAAGCAAAGCTGCTCCACTGCTCTAGGGGGACAGAAGTGGTGTTGACCCTGAGGACAGGCATCCCTGCTGCTCCAAGGCTGTGTCCTGGCTCAAGTGTTGGAGGCAGCATCTCTGACTTGGGTTTGGGAGTTTTTTGTTTTGGTTGTTTTTTTTTAAAGCAGAACCCAGATGGGGTCTACAGTGGCAGCTCTAACTTCTGCCCAAAGCTCCCTGGGAACTCTGAGCACCCCAACATTAAGTGAGAATGACCCTAAAACTTAACTAAATGTGTACTGAGTGCCACCTCTGTGACAGCAGATTGGACCCACCAGGGCAGAAGTGTGGGTGAAGCTCTGCTGCTCTGCATCCACCATGGTCAGGGTATCCCAGGATGGCACCACACCCACCCAGGACTATCCTTCTGCCCTCCCAAGAGCAGCATAGCAGGTGGGCAAAAGGATGAGGATTTGTTCAGACTGGTCTCAGCTCCCATCTTGGCTTGGGAAGACACACCTGGAATTTGGTCAGTGGTGACTGACTCTTTGAATAAATCATCAGCCATTCTGGAGGGCTGTGCCTGCATGTTAGGACAATTATTGCTTTCTTCCAGCCTCAGCCGTGTAAAAATGCATTCCTTCTCTTTATGAGAAATTCTCATCTCCTTCTGTCAGTCATCTTGTCTCAACGGGGAAAAAATCCCCAAGCCCTGTCATATCAGAAAATGAGAAAATTATCAATATCTAAAGTGTATGTGAAAAATATGAGCTCTTTCTCCATTTGGGAGAATGAATCTTGGTTGTAGTTGTCTTATAAATGTTAGCAGCTTCTCAGACATTCAAAAATGTTAATGATCCTAAGGTATTAAAATAGCTTGCCATGGAGTTCTCCATATTAAAAATACTGTCTCGCCCTCTGCAGCCATCTAGAAGACTATCATAGATGAATGGTCCTATACATCAATTTATGCATTCAGAAAGCAGAGGCAGGATTAGTATATTCATGCAAACACAACAGGCTCTGATGATTGCCTGCCTATCTGGAGTTAGGATCCAGCTCTGGTGCCTGAGATCAGCTTAATAAATACTATCAGCTTCCGCTGAGCGTAGGAATAGAAAAAATCTGTCAATAGCTGTAGCTCTGAATAGGAATCCTTGAGTAAAGTAAATCTCTCTACTTCAGATTTCCGCTGGCCTCGTTACCCTGCCTTGGGGGAGAGGAGGGGCCGGGGAGGTGACAGCCCCGAACCCCACAGCAGGGACATGAGAGGGTCCCATCAGCCCCAGGAATGACCCCTCCTCCCCATCCCAGGGGTGTCTGAGCCAATCTGGGGGTCCTCCTCCCCCCGAGGAGCAGCAGCTGACTGCAGAGGAAGGTGGGTGTTTGGGTAAGTGGGCTCAGCCTCCCGTCCTCCTCTCCCAGAGCCATGCACAGATCCCTGTGCTGGCCGGGGGCTTGCTCTGCTGTTGCCTTCAAAAGAGTTGATTTTGGACTCTGGTCCCTATGGGAAACCTGGGAGCAGGTCCTTCCCTCCCGCAGGCTGTCTCAGACTCCAGCAGAGCTCACAGCTCTGTCCCAGTGCTTTGGGCTGGGACTCAAAAACATGCACCTCCAGATGCTTCAGCACAGCCTGAAGCAGCCAAGGCTGCCACAAGACTGGAGATCTGAATCACATCCCCAGGCATGCAGGAGAGTGGTTTAATTCAGAACTAAACCTTACTAAGGCTACCTGGAACCACAGGTTTGAGTCTTGGCTCCAGGGAAGTTGGCGGGGGCACGAGTGGAAGAACGTGGTGGAACTTGTTGCTTTTACAGCACTCCTGTGGCAGGACTCACAATTAGATTTGAATCTGTTCTGCTATTTTCCTTTTCAAATATCTGTCCCTCTTGCTTTTATGAGTCATCAATTGTTTTATTTCCCTATCAGATTAGTTTGTTCCTCTCACTGTAGCTTTGGGCTTCTGCAGCTGAATGGGACCCAGGAGACCTGAGCATCGGGACCGAAGACACAGTAGAACACAAAAAGGGCAGCTGGTGCTCAGCAGACACCACAAACCACTTAAAATGCCTTTTGTTTATTAGCTATTGTTTGGTTATATATAGTACCTGCAGCTTGAACAATAGGCAGTGGCAGGGTACGTGCTTTGTGCTGTTACAGAGTCCAAGGTGAGGCTTCAATGCGGGAGGCCAGAGGCAGAGAGCAGCAAATTTGCCTGGAAAGCCCTGGTAATGCCATTCCAACTGGCCCATTAGCTGAGCCCACATAAACCAGGTTTATTGCATTTCTGTGAGCCCACAGTGGGGAAGTTTATTTAAACAATTTGGTGCAGGGAAAGGTGGATGTTGGCAGGGCTTTGGGCTCAGAGCTGTGGGAGAGCTGCTCCAGGAGAGAGGCCCAGGGCACCCACATGGCCACCCACGCTGGGCTCCTCTTCCTCCCACACCACTGGGCCCTGAGGAGAAGCTTCCAAACCTTCTTTGTGTCAGGTAGGTTATTTCTGGGATGCTCAAGCTGGATGCAGGTGTCCCGCTGCCCAGCTCACAGACGGATCCCCCCCAGCCTGCTGGGACCCCAGTCCCACCCCAGCTGAGCATTGCATTGTGCCCCCTCTGCACTTCAGTGAGCAGAGGACAAGAAACAGGGTGTTTTCAGACACTTTAGCAACTGCTTTCTCAAAACTTGTGGTGGGACTCCAAAGGGAGTTACTCTTTGCATGCATCAGGCCAGAGCTTTTTGGATGCACCAAGTGAATGAAATGTGATTTTTTTTTTTCATCAATTTCCTCTGTTCTGAGGCTGAATTGAGTTTTCTGATCTAATTATCCCTCCCTTCCCAAAGAAATAGAATGGCTTTGAAAAACTGCCCGTACTTTTATACACCCAACATCTGGCTTTGGTAAAAATACTGAAACTTTTTAAAGGCTTCTTGCAGTCTTGAAGAAGGGAGGGTGATATTTAGTAGATGATCTTTGCCCCTGTTTTCTAAGAAAAAATACCCATCCATTGATTCTACTGCTGGCAATTGAGAAAGCAGTTGGGCTGAACTTTAAGTGAACAAACACTTACGGATCTATTTATACCTGCCCTGGAGCAGACTACCATAGGTGGAAATGCTGTAATTATTTCCTTTCCCTGGTTTCCACTGTCCTATAAGGATCTCCTGGAGCAGCTTGTTAACATGGTGAAATTAGAATCAAGTCTTTATTAACAACCAAACCAATCTGACTAAAAAGGACTAAAACTGGCTGTAGCAAAGGTGAGACAAGCTGCTACGAGACAGCTTTTGCTGCTTAGCCCCATCTATCTAAGAAGGCTGAGAATTACAAATGACAAACATGGCTGGCAGTGGAGGGGGGACAGGGACCTGAGCAGCAGTGATGGGGAGATGCAACATCATTTTTCCCGTGTTCCTTTTTCCACTAGTGCATGTTTTCAAGTTAATTCCTCTCCCTAAAGAATCCCTCTCCTTTGTTATCTTCCCACTCTTCTCCCTCCCCCTTCTCCCTGAGTTTCTTTCTCAGAGCAGATGATCTCCTACACTCGCCATCCAGGTTAACTCTGGTTTCAGTATCAAAGATCATTTAAGCTGAAAATAGCTTTTACTGAGTCCATGTTACAACCCAGGAGTGTCTGGTCACCAGATAGGATCTTCAGCTGCCTCTCAGGCAGCGTGTTGGGGTTATCTGCATGCCAGGACTCTCAGTTCTATGGCCACAAGCCATTACACTTCACTGCAATTCAGGAGGGTCGTGGACTCAATTACAGCTGATTATGGACCATAGGGG